GTGTTTTATTTATTTATTGAGATGAATGTTTGAGACCAAATAAAATAGGATAGGAGGAGATGAGTGATTTTCGAGATGGATCTGTAAGGCCAAATGAAACAGAAGAGCTGGAGGCATTGAGAACTGGTACACAGCAGGAGACCAGGGCTGCCTGCTGAGCGCCTCCTGAGTCAGCAGGGCTGGGGTGGCAGGTGGAAGGGACCCCTCCCCTGAGCACCGATGATGACGGCTCTTTCCTCCCAGGTGGCTGTGCTCCCTGGTGGGAATGGTGGTGGTCGGTGCCAGCTTGCTGTGTGTAAGTATAACGAGGCCCTGTTGTGGGTGGGAGAGCCAGATAATTCAAGACCATTTCCTTCAAAATGTTTGGCAAAGGCTGTCAAAAAAGCTGTTTCTGAGTAGGCAGGAGTTAGCCCTGGGGCGATGCCACCATCTGAAGTGGCATGCCATTGAAGGGAGGYGGGAAGGAGGCCAGGGCAGTGGGCAGCAGGAGGCCGCGGCTCTGGGAGAGAGCCAGCGAAGGGAAGCATGCCGGTATCCACATCTGGAGCCAGSTGAACGGTGCATTTCATGACTTCCTGCACTCAGCCCACCCTGACGGGTCCCCCGAAGAAGTCACAGGGAACCATTGCCTGTGCCTCAGACTCTGGCACCRGAATATTTGGTAGATGATGGAAGGAAGAAGGGCTTTTTCAGATTCAGTAGCTCCTGTCAGGCGCTCTCAGTCCACATTTTCTCCTGCCCCCAATGGAGATCATAAGTACACTGGCCTCTGGGCTCGAGGGAGATGAAAACAGAACTGTGCTCAGGACRGGCTGGTGGTCCTGATGGTGAGCAGGAGCTCAGGCTCCATCTCGACCTCGCTGCCCAACTGGCTTTGAGCTACTTGCATCACCTCTGTCTGCTCCATATTCCCATCTGTCCCAAGAGGATTCTGATAGCATCTCACGGGTGGTGGTCCTCGTAAAGTGGGGAGCCCCCMGTGAATCTTAACCAATACTCTTGGTAAATATAACACCTCTTGGGGTGTCACCCCTACGGATGTTACCAGCTGCAAATGTCTAAATGATACACTAAGCCTTTGGAGGGTGAGTTGCTGGGATGGTGGGTTTGGGTGCCCAGGGAAGGTGTCAGGAACCTTCAAAAAGGGAAAGAAGGGATTTCAGGGGTGCTGAGCGGGCGGTGAGGGTGACTTTCCCAGCTTGCTGATGTGGTACCCAAGCCAGGCCACCTGTTCCTTCCACTCATGGGCTGTTSGATTCTTCTTGCTCCAGGGGCCACCTAGTTACATACTTAAATAGCACCTGTGGATGGGTCTGTCATGGAAAAGAGAGGCAACTCTGTTCAGTGGAGAATGAGGAYAGGAGTGTGTGTTTGGGTAGAGAAAGCCAAAGGATGAGGAGGGACAGTCCCTCAACAGAAAAGGACCACTGGGATGGTCTAAAGAGCTGAGTCTGAGGTCCACCTTGATC